GTGCTGCTCTGGTTCACCAGAAGCGGTTTAGTCATGCTGGCCACATGACCCAGAAGCTGTCTGCAGACAAACGCTGGCTCCCTCAGCCTATAGAGCGAGATGAGCGCCGCAGCCCCAGAGTCGTCCACGACTGGACCTAATGGTCAGGGGTACCTTTACCTTTTTTACCCTAGATGATAGCCAACAGCTGTAGGTATGCTTACAGGGCAGCTGGCAAAAGCAGGCATAGAAAAGGAGAGAGTATAAAGCAACTGTCTAAGCTTGTTTCAACGTAGTTGAAGCCACTAAAACAAATGAAACAAAAAATCCTTCTAAGTGACAGTAGAGTGAGTACTAGGACAACTGAGGACAGTTCCAGCTAAAACAAACAAAAACAAACCACAAAACTCCCTAGAAACAGAAAACAAGCATGGTTCTATTCAACTTCTTTCTTATTTGCAACAAGGTTTTAATGTGGGGGGGGGGGGGAATGATTTCGCATCTACTGTTTCAGCACTTCAGCACCTCATTCTGTGATTCGACCAGTGACCAGAAGCCACTTTCACCTCCCTGATCAACACTTTTGCTGCTATTCTGCTTTGTAACTATTATGCTTCCCTTCCCCCACCACCAAAAAAACATTTCCTCTGAAATAACCATATAAGGAGGGGCTAGAGACCCAGCATAATTTCAAGGCAGCACATTTAAAACAAACTAGGAGCAACTTTAGTCACCCAGATATCAGCTTGGTTAGAATACTTCTTCAGATCTTTAAGAAAAACAAATAGAACATTAGTATTCCTAAAGGCATGAGTTTAACTAAAGTAAAACTTATTACTGTGCAAACATCCAAGGTATGTCATTCTCTTTTTCTTGGATGATGAAAGGAAAGAACATGAAGTGAAAATACAGAAATCTCACGATGGAGATGAAGTTGTGGGTAACAGGATAGGGTGAAGGACTTTCTTATGCTTGCATGCTCACCTGCCCAGCAGAGATGACTGTGATCTCAAAAGAGACTTTGATCAAAATAAAACAGAAAGGTGTCACTGTAAAGCCACCTTTTTGCAGAGCATCTGATTGCTGTTTTCTGCATAATCGTATAAGCCTAGTTATTAGTCATTTGAGCATTACACACATACATCTTTGTGGAATAAATTGTAAGCAATAAAGAGTGATATTCCCTATTAAATGCATGCCATTGCACAATAGCAAGTCACTGGAGCTTAAAAGCCACAATTACTTCTTTGAAGAATAACATTATCTTCATATTGGAGGCTGCACAGAAAAAAACCTCCCACTGTCACTAGAATGTTATACAGCCACTGTCAACTTTTCCCCACCCCTACTCTCATTCCCTCCAAATCCAATACCATTTACTTATAGAGCTCTATTTGTGGTTCCTGATCCCCTCTTGGGTTTCTCCTTCAGTTTTTATTTATTCAGTTATTATTATTATTATTAAATAAAAAAACAGTTCAGGGGAAGGAGAATGGAAACAGATGCTAAAGAAAGACTATGCATTGTGAAAAATATATTTCATGGTAGGATACAAGCATGGTTGGATACATAGTAGGATACAATCCAACTCAATGGTATAAAGTTGGAAAATGTTGATCACTTCTCCTACCTAGGCAGTTATCTTTCCACAAGGGTCAACATTGATGCCAAAATCCAGCATCACCTGAGCTCTGCGAGTGTGGCTTTCTCCTGATTGAAGTGCAGTGTTTGTACTACCAACCTTACTGTATGTGAAACATGGGCCACTTACCATCTCCAACTTCTCAAGAGATTCCATCAACAGTGTCTCTGAAAAATCTGACACATCACTTGGGAAGACAGGTGAACTAATATTAGTGTACTGGGTGAAGCAAAGATCACCAGTGTTGAAGCAATGATTCTTCAACATCAACTTCGTTGGACTGGTCATATTGTGCGGATGCCTGATTATCATCTTCCAAAGCAACTACTCTATTTCAAACTTAAAAATAGAAAGTGTAATGCTGGTGAACAAAAAAAGAGGTTTAAAGACTGTCTCAAGGCAAATCTTTAAAAATGTAGTATAAACACAGACAACTGGGAAACACTGGCTTGCGAGTGCTCCAGTTGGAGAACAGCCTTTACCAAAGGTGTCATAGACTTTGAAGACACTCAAACTCAGGACGCAAGGGAGAAATGTGCTAAGAGGAAGGCACACTTGGCAAATCCACATCGTGATCAACTCCCACCCGGGAACCAATGTCCCCACTGTGGAAGGACGTGTGGGTCCAGAATTGGCCTCCACAGTCACTTACGGACTCACTGTTAAAACCGTGTTTATGGGAGACAATCTTACTCGGCTATGAGTGATTGCCAAAGAAGAAGACAGGATTTATATCTATGCAAAATATATCAAGTATTCACAAATATCACCAGATAAAATCATATTTAGTAGGAAAGCGCCAAGCATGAGACTGTTTGATCATATAAATCACAAACAACCACCAAACAGATGCAAAATCTGAGGGGCCCACTTCCCCCCTGGTAGCACTTATCTTATGGGTCAGTATTTCCAGAGATGGCAATAAACATGGTTTTTTTGTTGTTTTTGTTTTAAAAAAGCATGAGACAAAAAAATAGCAAGATATGTTTTTACTTCAATTTAAAATGCTTATAGCCCGTCCTTCACTACTAAAAAGGCATCCCAGAGCAGGCTGTCATAACCCCCCCCCAAAAAAAATGTTAAACACACAAATAATAAAAACTAGAAGGATGTGTGCTGGTATATCTTTGGCTGTGTAAGGGTTAGAGACTTAATGCCAGCTAAGTCTGACTGATCTGGGAATCAGCTGGCTGAACCAGAGATCCTCTTCATCCTAAGCTGCTCATTCTGGCACATCTTACTATAGGATTGCCCCCTTAATAAATGTTGAAAATGAATAAAATGGCAGCATGCCCTTTAAGTATTATTTTTGTTTTTTTAATGCATCAGACGCAAAAGGTTTTAACTGGAATACAACATAAGAATACGACACTTTTATTCATAGATGACAAAACTAATCTTTAGAGAATCCTACATCCATGACAATTGCAAAAGCAGAGCTGGATCCGTACAGAGTATTAAATAAATGCTTAGGAGGACTTACTAGTAGTCGGCCAAGATTAAAAGAACTCACCCTTCTTCTCAAGGAATCCCTGTATTCTTATTAGCAGAACATGGAAATGAGTAATGCGTGACAGACCCCTTAATCCTGGCTCTGCTTTTCCTATAGTTCCTCCAAAGCTGCTGTAACAGATAGTAGATGTGGAGCTGAGGTTGAAAGCTCATGAAGTGTTCGGTGACTGCCCATGAGTCTGATCTCATATGTACAATAGTGATAAACAGCAAACACAAGTCTCATTCCCACTTTTTGACACAGCTACTTCTACTGAGGACACAGGTAGCGTTGTGGGTTAAACCACAGAGCCTAGGACTTGCCGATCAGAAGGTCACCGGTTTGAATCCCCGCGACGGGGTAAGCTCCCGTTGCTCGGTCCCTGCTCCTGCCAACCTAGCAGTTCGAAAGCACGTCAAAGTGCAAGCAGATAAATAGGTACCACTCCAACAGGAAGGTAAATGGCGTTTCCGTGCGCTGCTCTAGTTCGCCAGAAGTGGCTTAGTCATGCTGGCCACATGACCCGGAAGCTGTACGCCGGTTCCCTCGGCCAATAAAGCGAGATGAGCGCTGCAACCCCAGAGTCGGCCACGACTGGACCTAATGGTCAGGGGTCCCTTTACCTTTTTACTTCTACTGAAGGCCTTATTTCTCAATGCTGCATGCATTCAAAAATCCAAACATGTCCATGGATCTGAAAAAGGTGACCCCAATTTACTGCAATTGTGTTGTATAAGCAAGCTGCCTTGAGCATTAGAGAGTAGTGGGACTTGACCAAATCAAGCTGCCTTTAGAGATGAATGGGCAAATCCTGAGCTTAAACAGGTCTTAGGTTATGGTAAACCAATAAATTGGTAATTTCAAAATGTAACATGAACCACAAAACTTAAAAAGAGATTAAACAGATAAGCATCTCAGACTGCAATCCTACACCCACTTACCTGGGAGTAAGCCCCATTGAACTTAATATGATTTAGTTAAGAGTACATATGTATAGGACTTAAAATATTTCCATATGCTAAAAATCTGAAAATTCTACTTAGAATTATGCTTTCTCCAAAATTTATTGCAGTTTGTGCAGTTTGTTTTCTATTCTGTATTAGTTTGCAGCTCCATTGCTACTTGTATTAATGCTGATGCTTCCAAAAATTATTTGTATTTTATAGTTTGTTTCCAAAAAATATTTTATTTGATTATTAATTTGTTAAGCACTTTGCATGTTATTGAAACAGAAATGCAATATATCATTGCTTTAAAACAATATTTAAAATTATGGTTTATGATTTTACATGCAGTTCCAAGAAAGGGTTACATCCAGTTATTTCACCTCTCACTAAATAGTATATTACTTTGAACCCAGTCTCTGAGAGAGATTGACAGTGCTCACAATGTCTGCTGACACACAAACACACTATTAGTAGGTGTTGATTCTGCTAGGAAAGGGTAAATTGGATTCTGCCAATTCACCCATTGACTTTACTGCAATGCTCAGAATTAAAGTAGCTAGAAGTGATTCTTCGCAGGGGACAGGAGCTGGGGTGTGAAATGAACTGTCCTAAAGTAAGAACCTCAAGAATAGCCAAGTCAGTAGGAAGGAGAAAAAACACTTTGTGCTGCTCTTTTTGGTCATTAATTTCTCTACTAATCGAAATAAGGCAATGAGGCACTGTGATTCCACATCATGTTTATACTATGCTCAAAAGGAAGTTATCAAGGAAAGTTATATTTAGTGTCTGGCCAGATAAATAAATAATTCTATGCAGCAAGCCTACTCACAAGATGCCTCAATGTTAATAACGGCAAACCCCCCCCCCTTTGACGTTATAGCACATACTGCATCATGCGGGAATATTCAAAAATAAATGTGGCATGATTTTTTCTGTTAAAACACACACACACACACACACACACACACACAGACACACACACAGTGCCTCTGTTACCAACATGGGGTGTGTGTGTGTGTGTGTGTGTGTGTGTGTGTGTACACACCTACCATGTTGGTAACATAGGCAATGATTATTTGCATTTGAAGATAAGTACAGAAGATTAATTTTTCTTCTGGTGTGGTTTCATGTCTTGTACCATAGATTGTATTACATTATTTGGCCTCAAGTTAATTACGCTTATATCCATTTAAATCAATGGAACATGTTGGTCCTGATTAAATTAAGACCTGTTAATTTTAACAGGAATAGAAGCATAACTTTCTTTAGATTGCAGCAGAGACCTTTGTGTTCTGTGTAAGACAGAGAGAATCCTCAATTTGCAATCAAGTCGACCACAGTGTTACTGTGGGTTTGCAAATGGAAGAGAGCACGAACTAAAACACAAACATAACTGAACACACATACACCACTGCCATGTAACCACTCCTTTCTAAGTGCTAGGAAATGCCCTAGAATTGGTGGTTGGTGATCCTTGGGGCTAGTGGGGCAGAAAGCAGATAATGGTCGGCAGAGCCAGGGATAACATAGGCAGAGCTGGTGGTAGGTGGAGCACCGAAGAGCTACAATCCTATGCACACTCACTTGAGAGTAAATCTCCTTGAACACATTTGTGTGGACAGGCGGAATCCCCCCAACCCCAGGCGACCCCCGAGCGGAATAATGACTCAAGGCAACGTGCTATGGGATTAAAATTGGCCACAAATTTATTAAGTTTCAGATGTAGGGAGGCTCAGGCATTGGGCGTTTATCCTTCCCAGTCCCCAGCCAGGGATCTGGGAGACTTCAGGGTTATCCAGGATGTGTAGGGATTGGGCTGGCTCTGGAGAACATATGTTCAAGCAGAGAGCCCGCCCCCCGTTTTGCCGCCGTTGGAGGGGAGAGCAATGACAACCTCTCAGCGTATGGCCAATGCCTCCCCTCAAGACCCCTTTATTGGGGAACCCTGGTATCACCGCCACAAGGGGGGGCATGGGTCACCGCTTCACCCCCCCCCCATTTAGGAAGATAGACTAAAGGATTCCACCCAAGGCCTGAAACCGCCAAAAGTTGTGATGTTTTGCTACAGGAAAGGCAAAACCTGCCAATGCAGGAAAATTCCTTTCCGGCCCTTCAACAGCAACCCTGACGTAGCAGTGCCTGCGTACCTGTGGAGAAGAGGTTAACCTGCAAAAGAAGACTTAACTGAGGGAGGGGAGGGTGGGAGAAGCTCTGGAGCCGACTGCCACTTCGCAGGTAAGATTCACCTTCTGTTGTGTGGGCAGGACAGTCCCTCCCCTTACCTGGCCAATCCCCTGGCAATGCCTCCCCAGGCGGGATTGGACGATTGGCTGAGGTAGGCGGAGACCTCCAGGTATCCAGCTTGGGGAGGATGAAGCCAGCCCGAACTACCAGGAGTCACACTAGGATCCAGGGGGCTGCGCGCGACCACGCAAAAGGCACCCCCATTTGATGTGGGGAGTGGTCATTGAATTTACATCTGAGTAGAATATATAGGCTGGGCCCATCACCTCCTGGCAAATAGAAGGGGAAGAAATGGAGGCAGTGAGAGATTTTACTTTCTTGGGCTCCATGATCACTGCAAATGGTGATAGCAGTCATGAAATTAAAAGACGCCTGCTTTTTGGGAGAAAAGCAATGACAAACCTAGACCGCATCTTAAAAAGCAGAGACATCACCTTGCCAACAAAGGTCCGTATAGTTAAGGCTTTGGTTTTCCCAGTAGTAATGTATGGAAGTGAAAGCTGGACCATAAAGAAGGCTGATCGCCGAAGAATTGATGCTTTTGAATTATGGTGGTGGAGGAGTCTCTTGAGAGAAGATCAAACCTATCCATTCTTAAGGAAATCAGCCCTGAGTGCTCACTGGAAGGACAGATCCTGAAGCTGAGGCTCCAATACTTTGGCCACCTCATGAGAAGAGAAGACTCCCTGGAAAAGACCCTGATGTTGGGAAAGACTGAGGGCACAAGGAGAAGGGGACGACAGAGGATGAGATGGTTGGACAGTGTTCTCGAAGCTACCAGCATGAGTCTGACCAAACTGCGGGAGGCAGTGGAAGACAGGAGTGCCTGGCGTGCTCTGGTCCATGGGGTCACGAAGAATTGGACATGACTAAACGACTAAACAACAACAACAACAACAGAATATATAGGATTATATTAGTAATCACAGTGAAGTTATATATTGGGTTGGATAGAATTGTGGTTCATTCCACATTCCGAAGTAAATCTTCCCATATTGTCCCCCGCAGGCACATGTATGTGTTAAGGTTGATGGTTTAATTTCCTGAAATGGAAATGTTCACTTATGTTAAATTACTGTGTATTTTTAACATGGTCCCACCCCCGGCAGTAGCTCTCATGTGATTGGCTGACTGTGAGTCACATGAGAGAGACATTCCATTCTGTTGTGACTATTATTCAAGTAACTGGCATTTTTTACTGCTATCTGATCTCTCTGTGTGTGAGAGAGAGAGGTAGAATGGTTGTGGAGAGAGGCTTCTCTGGATACTGCTGAGGACACTGTGTTTCAGTGTGATCTGTCTGAAGTGAAACAGACAGAGGAAGATCGCTAAACGTTGATAGGGAGAAACCTGTGCAGGAGCTCTCCATAAGGAACAAAGTGAATAAGCACGAGGTTGTAAATATATTCTTTTCAGTTATATGTTTATGAAAGTAAACATATGTTTACTTTCATAAGCATTGCATATGTCAAAAATTTAAAGTCTGATGGATTCAATTGCCTCTTTGACTGGTGGGCATGGTGATGGGCCAGTAGTACAATATTAGAAGCACATGTTAACAATCAATCAATCGATCAATAGATATAGTATGGCAGGAATTGTTAACATGTGCTTCTAATATTGCAGTTTATTGTTTTGCTTTCTACATTTCTTGAAATCTCCCCTTACTTAAAATGTATACTTATTTTGGGTCTTTCTGCAAAAATATACTTTCTTTTTAAAAAAATCCTCCCTGCTTTGTGCTGTCCCTTTCAGGACCTCATGATATTGCAACATAATCACTGAATTCATATTCTTGCGCTTTCAGCCACAGACATACCATTCTACTGTAAGATTTATTTTTACATTTGAAAAATGTAAATGCGATCATTAGCTTAGCACATAAAATAAACTTGGGGGGGGGGGACCACAACTGTCCTGCTGTTTGCCAGGCTGTTTAAAAGCTGCCATGGCTCCCTTTCTTCTTCTTCTTCCATGTAATGAGATAAGACAAGAGATCAGAAAGTCTCAAAGGATTGCATATTTTTTCTTATTTGGAAAAAGAAATTGCATTTTTAGCATCCAGACCTGACAAGTGTGGAATGCCTGTAAAAATGGACCTCTGTACGTTTAAAACAAAGTGACCAATCTAAAACCCACAGGGAAGCAACTCTGTAAACTTGTGATTTATCTCACTCATGCTAGGGGAGAGGTCCCTTGCTGCTCTCAGCATACTGCTGAAAATGCATAAACATTACTTCTCTAACTACTCATGCAGTTACATTATAGCCAGAAATGTGTGTAGCCTTTGAAATTTTAGTGAGAGTCCATATGAGTTATCATGCTTGCTGTTATAAACAAAATTATTGTGAAATTTGCCCTTGAAACTTGAAATCCAGCAACTAAAAGGAAAAGGAAAAAACTCACCGAAAAAAACAGAAATAGTAAGCAAATGGCTTTTTAAAAAAAGAACTTCTGAAGACAGGCCGATTTGTGTTCTTCAGAACTGGGCAACACTGGATGGCTTTTCTAAAATCCTAAAACAAGGTCAGTGCAAGGAGAACTATACAGTTGGCCAGAGATTTCATACAGGTTTCCACTTCCAGTACTAAAGAGAACATCTGTATGTGACACTCCAAAGTGCCTTGCTCCCTCAAAAGTGCAAATACAAATACTTGCAGGGGAACTATAAAGCAATATCTAACCCCACTTTTAAATGCATTTTGAATACCCTTGAATTTTGACCCATGTTATGTCACATTCTTGAAATAAAAAAAAGGAAGGGGGAGGACACGAGGGATTACAAATATGCAAAATAATAATATATGCACATTATGTTAGTAAATCAATGAGACCTGCTCCTGAGGCATCAGTCACATTCATTTTCGGTGCTTTGGATCTAGAGTTCTGCTCAAGAACAGAGTATTATTGATTCCACCTTTCCTTTGCACCCCCTAGAAACCTGCTCCAGAGGTTTGGGGAACCCTCTGGAGGAGTGTGGGAGGTAGCATGGGGGGAAAGGGGACCTTTTGATAGGTTAAAATTGCCTCCCTGCTCCACTCCCATGAGTAGAAATGTCTGCTAGGTCCAAGCCCCATTCACATGGAAGGGGAATTCCGCTAAGAGGACACATTTGAATTAAACCTGTTGATCAAACCTACCATGTTCCCTGTTTTTGTTAACCTAGTATTTGGCGGGGGTTGGGGGATTGGGATGTCTAATAACCGAGGTCTCAGGAACTGCTACTGTCAAAGGCAGTATGCTTCTGAATACCAGTTACTGGGAAAGAAGGCTGGAGCACTGATGCATTAAGGCTTCCTGTAGGCATCTAACTGGCCACAGGCAGAACAGGATACTGGACTAGATGAGCCATTGGGCTTGTCCAGCAGCCTCTTCTTATGCAATATTGCATGAGCTGCATTGAGCTGCATAGGATCTGAGCAAAAGACACAGGCTTTTGTACACGTCCCAATCTTTTCAAGGCAGCATGAGCAGGAGAAATTCCTGGACTGTGCATATCTATATATCTATGAGACATTTAAAAATTAACAGTTCTAATAGAGACGGATCGGCATTAGCAATTTATTTTGAGACTGGCTTAAGCAGTCAGCCAAAGCAGCTGGGATATAATCTGCCATACAAGAAGTATTTTTTGATTATTTTTAAAATGTCATTGAAACTTTTCACACAAATATAGTTATAATATAGACTTCAGTGATTTCAAAAGGATCTAGCCATTCCAAGATCATATTTTCAATATGACATGATGCATGGTATTTCTGAAGCTACTTTTTAAAAAAAGACATTGCCTCAGGA